AAGGATTGCAGAATTTAAATCTAATCCCACACCAAACTGCTAGAAGACCCAGAGGGTCAACAAAGACTGGCAGAAGCCCAAGTATCCTGCCAGAGCCCGCCCAGCCCTGCTCTCTCACCTTCACCAGGGTTCCGTTGATCTCGATCCGTTGGTAGGAGGTAGAGTACTGCAGTAGGGATGAGAAGAATCAGTGTCCACTGTCATGGAGGCCCCCATCCCATGCTGGGACCAACAAAGCTCAAAGTCTGCGCTAAGCACCACCTGCCAGCAACCCCAGCCACCCCACTGAGGAAGGACTTCTTTTGGGGGGGGTGGTTCCTGGGGATTGAACCCGGGTGCTTTACCATTGAACCACATCCCTACTCCTTTTTGAGACAGGAACTCACTAAGTTGCCCAGGCTGGCCTCAACTTGTGATCCTCCTGATTCAGCCTCCCAAGTAGCTGGGATTATAGGCATTTGCCACCACACCTGGTCCATAATCTTTTTTTTTTTTTTTTGATTGGGAAGGGCACAGATGAGCTTCAGGGGCTACCCAAGAACCCTCTGACATCACATGTCACATGTGGCCACTTGTGTTTTCCCAGGGATGGCCCAAAATCAGATGGAATGGGCTCCGACTAGCTGCCTCCCTCCCTGCCCACCCCATCCCTCCAGACACCCTGAGAACTCACAGAGCGAAAGGTCGCAGACACCAGGTTGGAGGGAAAGATATTTCTGCAGAAATAGACAAACAGGGGGTTATTAGATACTGTCATGGGGAGGAGAGGGAGTATCAGGGGAGCTGGCTAGGCCTCTTCGAGGGGTGAGGGCAAATTAGGCCCCATTTAGGACCCTCCCTCCTTCAGCCAGGTTTTGGCTGGGCAGTGGGACCTGGCCTGTACACCTTTACAGGCTGTGGGATTCTGAGCTGGCCCCTGTCATTCCAAGCCCAAGGGATTGTGGGTTGGAAATAAAGACCCCAGGCAAGCCAGGGCAGGGTCACCCTGAGCCTTAGCCCCACCCCAGGCAGCAGACCTCATACCCTCTATGTCTTGCATCAGCTACTTCCTGGAGGGCTGAGAAAAGGACTGGTTCCTAGGGGGAGGGGTCAGCTGGGGGATGGGAGGATGTGGGGAGGATCTGAGCAGATTGGAAAGCAGCAGAGAGGCCCAGAGAGTGTGACAAGGGATGGCCACTCATGTCATGAATGTCTGCCATGAGGTGGAAAGAGCAGCCAATCCACCCACGTCACCTCCCACATGCCCAGCACGGCAGTTAGCACTTTACACAAACTGACCCGGATGGACAGGCGTTCCGGTATGGCCACGTACCCAGGAGGGGAGTGCAGGTGAAGATCGGCTGGATGGGCGTGTCAGTGGATGGCCAGGCTGTGTGCCACAGTGGAATATTATTATGCATGTGCAGTCACAGAGGTCTGTATGTGTGTACTGTCCTCTTGAGCATGGGTGCAGGAGTAACTGAATGGGACCATTAAAGGCATGTGTGTTAAACTGGTGGAAGGCCATGTGTCTGTTTCCGAGTGTCTATGTCCAGCTGTGTGGGTCAGCTGGCTGGTTATAGGCCATGTAACTGAAATGTTCCAGTTAAGTCTTGGAACTGAAGACCAAGTGGGAATTACAGCTGTTTTGAAACTGTTATGGGGAGTTCATAAACAGCCTGGGGGTGGGTGTGCCTGCCTGCAGCTCAGGGCTGGGCCAGGGCCCAGCTAATCTCACTCAGCCAGGAGCTGTTACCCACCCCTATGGGGACACCAAGCCTGGCAAGTGTCCCACTTCAGCCAGCACAGATGTCTCAGAGGTGGAGGGATACCCTATGACTCAGTGTTTCCACACACACACCCCCCACACACACACACACTCACACTTCCAGGAAGTCCCCAATCTGGAGACACTGAATCAGAGGCCATAAAGGCCAGGACCATGTGGCCTCCAGTCTGCACCCTTCAGAAGCCATAACAGTGGAGGGCAGAAGGAAAAGAATCTGTTCCCCTTTCTAAATGGATCCACTTTGGGGAGGCCCACTGCAGGAAGAAGGGGGCAGACAGAGGAGTAAGTGGGAGGGAAAGGTGGGGGTGGCAGGTGGGAGGGTGGCCAGGGCTGATGTGGAAGACAGAAAGAGGAAGTGGCCAGGCCCCTGCTAAACTGGGAAGGGAAGGGGCTGAGAAAAGAAATGCGGCTGTGTCCAGATGACCCATGGTGTGGGCAGCTATGGGGCTGGAAAGTAAAATTCCTTGGATTCCCTCAAGTTCTCCAGGGGTTCATTACACAGGAATCCCAGGGCTGCTGCCCTGGCTTCCGATCTTTTTTTTTTTTTTTTTTTTTTTTTAATAAGGAAGCTGGAAAAGTCGTATATGATTCACACCAACGGGCTGCACAGCCAGGTCATTGGGAGGGAATCTGGGGCAGCCAAGGGGGCCCTAAGATGGTGCTTCTGGTCAAGATTCCACATCCAATTGGGGATGTCCTCAGGGTCCCTTTTCCTCACGGGGTTCCTTTCCCTCTGGGCAGACCCTATGTCCAAGCCCCTGAGCATTTCTCTTCCTCTTCCCTCTTTAAGACTTTTTTTGCCTATCTCCCTCTTATGGAGTCCCTCTGAGCCCAGGTTCCTAAATTTAGAAAACCCCTTCCCCGGTAGTCAGTCCTCACTTCCCCAAGGGACCAGAGCTCCCTCCACCATCCCGTCCCATTTTCCCAAGGCTCTAGAGAGGATGTCTGGCTCTAGAGGGCCCAAAGCCCTCTTCTGCCAACGTGGCCACTTCCACCATGCCTACCACCGCGGGCGGAACCTGACCTCGCAAGATCCAGGAACGAATCCAGCACCTCCTTGCTGGGGAACTCTTCCTCAGTGCCGGTGACCCCTTCGAAAGAGGAGTTGAAGGCCGCAAAAGCGGCGCCGGGTTGCAGCGCCAAAGCCAAGCCCACGCCGAGAGCAGACGCGAGCAGGGTGGTGACCAGGAAAAAGAGCAGCGCCCAGGCGCCCAGGCGGCCAAGCGCGCTCGGGTCCAGGCTGGCGGCGCCACTGATCAGGCTGCACACTACCAGCGGCAAAATGATCATCTTCAGCAGGCGCAGTAATAGCTCGCCAGGGAAGTCGAAGACGGCCCAGAACTGTGGGCTCAGGGCGCCTGCCCTCGAAACCCCCAGCCCCAGCACCACGCCAATCGCCACGGCCACCACAGTCAGCAGGACCAGCAGATTGGCGCGAAGGCAACGGCGCACCTGGTTCCAAGAACCGCAGGAGCCACCTGAGGTCACGACTTGGTCCTCTCTGGGACCCAGCGCCTGTCCATCATTCGCGGCGGGCTCCGTGAACCCCTTAGGTTCGGTCTTAGGAGGATCTGCCACCATGGTGGGACGCACAGGGGGTCCTTTGTGCCTGGAAGCTGGGAGCGCTTGGAGCTCCTTCCCAGGACGCCGATCTTGGGACCGAGAGTCCTCCGCTCCTGGAAGCTGGAACTTGGGAGGGCTTCTTGGAGTTGTGAGTTTACAGAGCCGATTCCTTGGCTCTGGGAAGCCGGTGTGCCTAAGTTCCTTCGGCTGGGCTCTGGGGCTCCTCAGCTCTTCCCCGTGGTGTCAGATGCCCGAAAGCTGGATGAAAGCGCCTGGGGTTCCTGGCTCTGCGCCTTGGGAATACAGGAGTTTCTCAGCCTGGAACGTGGGGTCCGTGGCTCCGGGAGGTTGGGAGAGTGCCCAGGTGGCAGAGATCTGCAGGAAACTAAGTCCAGGTGGCGTAGATCCGGAACGCCTGGTCCGGAGTCGCAGATCCCGCGTCTCTGGGTCCTGGAAACTGAGAGCTAGGGGACCCGAGTCTGGAGGCCACGAAGCGAAACTCCAGGAGGACGAAATGTAGGACTCCTGGGTGAGGGAGGAGAAATCCAGGCGCCTGGGTGCCCGAGGTGGCAGCTACCAACAGAGCGAGAAGTTTCCTAGGCGCGCAGCGAGGCTCGGCGCAAGGCTGGCGGAAGCTACCAGGCTTAAAGGTGGGGAGCCGGGTCTAAGAAGGTGGGACCGGCCCGCGCGCGGCGATTGGCTGCGGCTTGTTGGGCGCACTCTGAGAGCGAGGGGCGGGGCGGAGACCGAGAGGGGCCCGTCGCCCAAAGAAGGCTGCATCGCACGCCAGAAGGCAGGATGACCAGAAGTTCAAGGCCAGCCTCAGCATTTAGCGAGATCCCTTCTCAAAAAAGGAATAATAATTTTTATAAAAAAGTGGAGGGGGGATTCTGAGGGTGTAACTCTAACTCAGAAGTAGAGCAACCCCGCAGTAACGGGTGAAGGGAAAAACAACAAAGACTACCCACACCGCCGAGGCCCGGGGAAGAGGCCTCCAGGGAGATGCATCCGAGGGCGGGGCGCTGCCCAGAGGGGGCGGGGCGCTTCCCGGGGGCGGGGCTTTGGAAGGATGCTTTTTTCCGTCAAAGGCATTGGACTTGCAGGTTGGAGTCCTTACACAGCAGCAACCCGGCTCCAGCGTCTCTGGGACATGCAGGTAAATCCTAAATGACTTATTTGCAAATCCTCCCAGTTCGAAACATCTTAACACCAGTTCTTTTTTTTTTTTTTTTTTTGGTCGTCTCTCAGAATTTGTTTCTCACATTTAAAATGCAGCTGATCAAAGTTCATCCTTCTTATTGAGGTAGGCCAGAAGACAAGGAGAGGTAACAAGGAAAACGTGGGACAAAACAAGAGGAACCTTGATTTAAAGTACAAACTTAAAGCCCAGATTTGAATTTCACTTCCACATACTTTGATCACAAACAACACTATTTATATATATATATATATATATATATATATATATATATATATATATATATATATATATATATATATATATATATATATATATATATATATATATATTAGGGATTGAACCCAGGGGCCACATCCCCATTGCTTTTTATTTTTTATCTCGAGATGGTCTCGCTAAGTAGCTTAGGGCCTCACTAAGTTACTGAGGCTGGCTTTGAACTCAATCTTCCCACCTCAGCTTCCTGAGCTTCTGGGAATTACAGGTGTGAGACACCATGCCCTGCATACACTACTCATCTGTACTTAAAAAAAAAAAAGGTCTGAAAATACTTTCTGCTCAACAAATAGATATTTCTGAGATTCATATTTTTAGGATCTGGTAACTTGAGCTATGTCACACCTTCTATCAATCCCCCAATGTTACACCAATGTAGTAATGTTCAAATTCACAAAGCAGAGGGGTAAAACTCCCTCATGGAAAATAAAAAAGATTTTTTGCCAGGTGCAGAGGTGCCTGCCTGTAATCCCAGTGGCTCAGGAGGCTGAGGCAGGAGGATTTCAAGTTCAAAGCCAGCCTCAGCAATAGTGAGGTGCTTAGCAACTCATTAAGACCCTGTCCCTAAATGAAATATAAAATAGAGCTGGGGATGTGGATCAGTGGTTGAATGCCCCTGAGTTCAATCCCCAGTATAATAATAATAATAATAATAATAATGATGATGATGATTTTTCATCAATAACAAAACAACCCCAGCAGGTAATGATCAACACATCAAGTAACCAAGCTTGCACTCTCCCTGCCTCTCAGAATGTACTTCCTTTTTTTAAAAAAATATTTTTAGTAATACATGGGCACAATATATTTTATTCATTCATCTTTATGTGATGCCAAGGATCCGACCCAGTGCCTCACTGCCACTGAGCCACAACCTCAGCCCATATACTTCTGGATTCCTCTTAATAAAATCCATCTGTGCCTCGCTTTGACCCATCTTTTTTTTTTTAAAGAGAGAGTGAGAGAATTTTTTTTTAATATTTATTTTTTAGTTCTCGGAGGACACAATATCTTTGTTTGTATGTGGTGCTGAGGATCGAACCCGGGCCGCACGCATGCCAGGCAAGCACGCTACCGCTTGAGCCACATCTCCAGCCCTTGACCCATCCTTAAATTCCTTTCTGCAATGATGTCAAGAACCCTCACAGTCTGGATTGAGGCCAACCTCCCTTTGGGGACCTCCTTAGGACCCTGTCCTGGGGACAACATGATTGCTGTAAAAATTTAAATGAGATGGAGCAATTGATTGAATAATGTTTATAGTTTTTAAAATCAATAAATGTTCCCAGCTGTGCATGCCGGCATACCCTATGTCTCAGCTCCCCCTTGGGTGGTTGAGGCAGGATTATGGAGCCTAGGAGTTCAGGGCCAGCCTGGGTAACAAAGCCAGACCTTGGCTAAAAAAAAAAAAAAAAAAAAGCTAATGTCATCAGACATTATCTTATCTCTACCAATACCTGACACAGTCTCACTCCCATTTTCCTGACTTGGAAGCAGTTGAGAATAATGAAGTTCATAGTGGCCCAAACCCACTGCCTGAGCAGGTGATTTGAACTCAGGTGTCTCTGACTTGGGTCTACATCTTTATCTTTCATCAGCCACCATGGCTACCCCTGGGCTTAGCTCCTCTCCAAGCAGGGACATTTCTTCAAGGAATTGTCGTTTATTCTTAGCACAGTGTTCAGCCCTGGTTGGGCTGTGCTAAGGACTCAGAAGTGACCAAGATAGTCTGGATCTATCTTCCTGGGACCCAAACAGTCCAATGGGAGATGCAGACACATCCCCAGAGTGTAAAAGGATGGGATTGAAGATTCCAGAAAGGATGCTTGACACAGCCTGGCGAATCAGGGAGGGCTTCCCAGAGGAGGAGGCATCATTGAGCTGAGACAGGAAGGAGCTGGGCTGCTGAAGTTTAATCCCCAAAGTCTTATGTTAATGGTATTAAGAGAGGGGAGACTTAATCCAATGATGCTATTTAGATCCCACAGAATTAGGGTCAGACTCTTCCTCTGGGCATCTGTCCATTCAGTAGTTCATTCCTTCAGTCATTCGACAAACCACAACCACAGAACACTGAGAGGCATCTAATTCAATGAGACAGATCCCATGTGTGTGTGTGTGTGTGTGTGTGTGTGTGTGTGAGTGTGTGTGAGAACCCAGGGCACTTTAACACTAAGCTACATTCCCAGCTTTTTTTTTAGATGGGCTCTCCTGGAGTTGCCCAGGCTGGGCATCCTTGTGATCCTCCTGCCTGAACCTCCCCAGTTGCTGGGATTACAGGTGTGCCACGGTGCCCAGAACATTTATCTATTTTTAATAAGGAAAAAAGCAGGTTGCAGGAGGATATGTACAAAATAAGGCACCATGTCACTTGTGAGCAAAAGCAAGTGACCATACGCCAGCATCCATTACAAATGCATTGCTTATCTGCAAAAATTCCCAGAAACTGCTATCGTGGTTGCATTCAGGAAGGAAAGCTGTGGCTTTGCGGTAGTTTGCAGGCATCATGGAATTGCTCAATGACTGGGTAAATCACTCATTCCTCCAGCCTGATTTTGCTCAGCAGGGAAATGGGTACAGTTGTAGTTTCTGCCTCAGAGATGGTGGAGAGGACTGAGAACTAGTGCATAAGCCCCTTAGCTGGTGCTGGCAAAGCTCAGACCCTCAGGAATTATCAACTACAATGACCTTTTACAGATAAGGACTCGAAGAAAGTTCTGCCTGTAGTCCCAGTTACTTGGGAGGTTGAGGCAAGAGGATCACTTGATCTCAGGAGTTCGAGACCAGTATGGTATGGACAACGCAGCGAGACCCCAGCTCAAAAAAAAAAAAAAAAAAAAAAAAAAAAAACCCAAAAAACCCCACGATTCTAAGCTGAAAACACTTTTTGCAGTGTGTTCCCCCAGGCAGTTTCGGGGCCATAGGCGGGTTGCTTCCTCCAGGAGCTTTGAGGATCCCAGGACCATGGGGCAAAGGGAGGCCTGTAAGGAGCCAGCAGTTGGGCTTCAGGTGCAGCCGCAGCTGAAGTTTCTGGCAGCCCTCCTGGGAATCTGAGCCCAGGGAGGGGTATGAAGAAATGGCCAGGCCACTTGGGCAACGTGGGCATAGGGCAAAGTCCGTGCTCAGCCTTCAGGGTGGGAGTGTCAGGCTGGGCAGCAAGGTGGAGGCCGGAGACTCCAAAACCTCGGCCCCCAGGGAGGGGAGGGGTGGGGAGGCGGGGTCAAGCCAGGAAGCGGGTTAGGATCGGGTTCAGGATTGGCCGGTGGTGCACCAGCCCCCTTCCCGCCTCTGACACGAAGAACACGTGCTAGCAGGTTTCAGATCCCCTTCCCCGCCCCCCCCCAAACCTCCTACCCAGATTTCAACACCGTAAAGAAAGGCCTGTGTTTCTGGGAAGGGGGTGAGAGGGGCCGGAGGAGGCAGGGCCAGCCCTGAGGAATCTGGACTCCACACGGCAGAGAGGCCCTTCCTGGCCCTGCTCGGCCACCGGGACCTAGGTATCTGCCTGTGGTCAGAATGTCACCGAGAATGCTCCTCCCTCTGATCTGTATCCATGCACCCCGTTAAACTTTTCTGAGCACCTCGTATGTGTCCAGCCTGGGGCTGGGTGGCTCTGGGGACCCCACAGTAACTGAGACAGCCCTGACTCCTGGCTTCCTGGACTCAGTCCAGTGGAGAAGACAGATCCATTGCCAGACAAGGATGACCCAGAGTAGACAGGATGGGGACCGGGATGAGAGAGCTCAGAGGGGACA